CTTGGAGCAACCTGCTCTAGTGGAAGGTGTCCCTGCCCGTGGTGGGGTTGGAACTGGATGAGCTTTAAGGTCCTTTCCAACCTGAACCAGTCTGGGGTTCTGATTCCCGGCCTACTGAGTACTTCTCCTGGAAAACCTCTGGGACGCACATCCCAGCCTTTCCCTGCTTTCCCAGATGCCGATTCTCCCACTGCTTTCCTTTCAGCCAGCTTCTCATGAGGCTTCCTCTGTCCATCCACAGCTGCTGTGCAGCCTGTGTCCCACCACCAGCATTACCTTATTTAGTTGCTCAGTGCTTCTTTCAGAGCTGATGCACTTCTTTTTTTGGAGCATTTCTCCGCCATTTCCAGCAAGGAAATGAAAAAACCCACCACTTTTCCTACTGCCTTTTCCTGCACCTGGAGGAGGTCTCAGGAGCAGAAGGACTTGACAAACAAATCCTCCCTTTCTTGCCCTGTAGATGAATTGTCTCCCGGAGCCTTTGGCCATTGCATCAATGGAACATGTAAATTCCAAGTGGACACCTGGAAATAGCTGGGAATGAAGTGTCCCGGGGCAGGATCTCACCCCAGGGCTGCTGCCCGCCTGTCCTGCTCGGGCTCCCCTTGCTATCCAGATGTCCCAGGCAGTGGAGCCCATGCTGTGGGGAGGAAACCAGACAGACCAAGCCTGGGAGCTCGCTGCTTGTGCAGAGGTTTCTGCCGCCTGCTCTCTTCCTGTCTCCATGGCAGGGAGCAAATTCCATCCTCATGGGAAGCAGGCGGAGGGCTTAGTGGGCTGTAATTAAAGCCACAAGCGTTCCTGGAGGAGCTGTTTGATGAGATGGCGCCAAGCGGAAGGGGCAGGGGGAGATGCTTCGTGGAGCACAGATGGGGCTGGGGGCTGCTCTCCTTTAAAGCTCCATCTGATGGGAAATCAAAGCTGTGGCTCGTGTGGGGTCAGCAGGAGTTTGGGACATAAGAAGACTGACTTTGCACCAGTTCCCGGCAGTGTCAGGGCTCTGGTGTCCCCGTGCCTTCCCCCTCTGGGGTGGCCACACTGTCATTGCTCTGTGTGATGCCCTCCTCCGCATCCCCACGTTCCAGACTCCATGTATTTCTCTGGAGATGGAACCCCGGGGCCTCCTTTTCTCCCGGGGGCCTGGGTCTGTGCTGCTGGAGAAGGCTCTGCGGCAGCAGAAGTGTGGTGGTGTCTGCTGCCTGTGCCACGCTGAGCTGCTCGAAGGGGCTCAGGGACATCAACTCGCAGCCCACAAGACAATGTGTTGGTGTTGGTCTCTGCCCACTTTGCAAGCTCCAGAAGGGATGGGGCCAGCCCAGGCTCTCTCTGTGCTCACAGCATCTCCTCTTCACTTCTTGTTCCCCTTCCTCCATCCTAAACTCTGACTCTTCTCTTCCCCCCAAAGGGTGCTCCTGCAGTCTGGGGCTGATTCCTACCAGTAAACCCTGCACGATGCCTCCCATCACATTCCAGGACCTCCCACTGAACATCTACATGGTCATTTTCGGCACCGGCATCTTTGTCTTCGTGCTCAGCCTCATCTTCTGCTGCTACTTAATCAGGGGAGGCGGGGGCGGGCTTTTTGGCCACCCCCAGCCCTTCCCATATCCCCTCCATAACATGGAGCCATTTGCCATAAGGATGTGCCCTGAGAAGCGGGACCGTGTTTGTGGTCCCTGGTGTTCCCTGTAGCTGGAGCAGGGCAGGAAACGCAGGAAGGGGCTCTTGTTTTCCAGGGGAGCATATGGAGGGATGCATTGTGTCAGGCAGGGAAGGAGCAGGGCTGCACGACGGAGGATATGTCTGTACATTACAGGGAGGCCTATTTTTAAACCCAGAGCCAAGGCAGCAGCTGGTGTTTCTGCAGGGCTCGGGTGGCTCAGTCCTTCCCTGTGGGATGCTCGGGCTCTGCTGATGCCCTGTGCATCTCTCGGCCATTTTTGGGGATCATGGAAGCACCTCTCAGTGCCTCAGTTGGAAGAGAAGCTCCACTGCAAGTGGTCTCCTCCTGCCCACATCTTGCTGCATTTCTCTGCAGGGTGATTTTCCCCTGGCCAAGGTCACAGCGGGGCTGGGAGCTGGAAACACAGTGCTGGAAATACAGCGCTTCCTGCGCCACGAACGACTTCCTAAGGCAAACAATCGGGGCTGCCAGCTCTTATCATTCCCCACTGCCGATTCCTGCCGGCTCTGGAGGTGGCACAGGCCCCCGTGGTGCTGCTGGGACACAACCACGAGCTGCTCCGATGGCACAAACACAGCCTCAGAGCTGCTTGTCCCCAAATCCTGGTTGGGATGGGTGCGTTCCCCTGATTTCGGGTGCCTCCTGTGTGGTTTTGGCTGCGCGGTTGTCGTGGTTTAAACCCAACTGTGGGTTTTCTGATGTGACCCTTGGGGATGCTGTAAAACTCACAGCATCTTTTTCCCCCCCTCTGCAGCAAACTGCGGCACCAGGCGGAGAGTGAGCGGTTCGGGTACAAGGAGGTAAAGTGGATGGTTGTTTCTGTACAGAATATATATGTATATTGCACATACCTGCAGTGATTTGGGGCCAGATGGGTGGCGGGTGCAGGTGGCGGGGATGCAGCAGGGATTGGTGCTGCTTATCCCAGCTGGGTGCGTTCAGAAGCGTTGTGATGGGACATGCTGCACCTGGGCTTGACCTGCCTGGCTTCCTCCAGCAAAATCCCTTTGGATATTAAATCCTCTGCCTCCTCTTCTTCCTCAGGTGGTTTTGAAAGGCGATGCCCGGAGGCTGAACGTGCATGGGGTGAGTGGTTCCGCCTCTGGGTTGGGATGGAGTTGGAGGTAACAGGGGTGATGCTCTGGGGCACATCCCATCTGCTCCATGGGCACAAAGGCAGCTCACAAGCGGAGTGAGATGAGGATGGCTGGGGCTGGCCATGCTGGGCTGGGAATTCGGACGGAAACCCCCTCCCTGGGGGCATTTTGGGAGCTGGGCTGAATTCCCAGCTGGTAATACCAGGGAAGAGGCACCGCAGCAGCGGGATTTCCCCAGTCACAGCGTTACTAGTAGGAGTAGGGCCATGTGTTCGCACCCACCCTCACCCTTGTCTCACCTCCCACAGCAGACCTGTGCCGTCTGCCTGGAAGATTTTAAGGTGAAGGAGGAGCTGGGGGTGCTGCCGTGCCAGCATGCCTTCCACAGGAGGTGAGCACAGCGATGCAGGGACGCGGGGTTTTCCCTGGCGCTGGAATTCCATCCTCCTGTGTTCCTGCCCCTCAGGTGCCTGGTGAAGTGGCTGGAGGTGCGCTGCGTCTGCCCCATGTGCAACAAGCCCATGGCGGGTCCCGCTCAGCCCCGCGCCGGCATCGGCACCCTCCTGGACGAGCTGGTGTGAGAAGCTCCCCTCTTTGCCAGCCGTATC